TCAGGGGCGGGGTGTCCATCGCGGGGCACAGCCTGGGTGAGGGCTCGCCCCGGCGTGCCAGGGAGCAGGGAGGGCACAGCCACAGCTGCTCTGGCTTACAAGGGACACCTGCCACCAGAGCAGGTTGCTCCGAGCCCTCTCCCAGCTCCCAGGGGTGTGGCAGCCACAGTTTCTCTGGGCAGCCTGTGTCAGTGCTTCAGCACTGTAAATTATTTCTTCCTGCTATCTAATCTAGCCTGTCCTCAGTTTAAAGGCATTGTCCCTTGTCCTGTCATTATCTGCCTGTAAAAATGTCCAGGGTGCAGCTCTTCCATCCCAAGAAGGAGGTGGCTCTTCCCCTCCAGATGCTGATGCTCTGCCCATGCCTGGTTTCTAGGGTCGCTCATTTTGTTTGATCTCCTGACGAACCAGAAGGCTGATCCCGAGGAGGATGAGCACTGTGCACAGGTATGGGAGGCCACTGACACCACCTCCTGCAGCTGCATGGGGATGGGGCAGAGAACACAATGTGCACAGGAGCAAACTGGTGAGCAGAAAGCATGATCCCTTCTGGGTGTGTTCACAGGGGTCCAGGACAACCTCAGGCACGGGAGGTATTGAGGAAGTAAAAGAAATCCTGAAGAAGCTGGAGCTGTCCGAGTATTGTGATGTTTTTGAGAAGGAGAAAATGGACAAGCAAGCATTGGTGAGAAGTTCCCCTGTTGTACTGGCTCTTCTGGCTCTTCTTTGCTTTTCTTCCCCATCACCCCAGCACTGCACATCTTCTGGTACTGAGTCACACATGAACCATCTCTGAGGAGGAGCACAGTCCCATAGAGCAGACACCTCACCACACCTCTGCTCCTGGACTAACACCAGCCTTGCTTATTTTCCAGTTCTTGTGCACAGAGAAAAACCTGAAAGAAATAGGAATTCCCTTAGGGCCAAGAATGAAAATACTCCATTACATCAGCTCCAAGACAGAGATGAAGGTTTGTTTTCCGCGTGGCTTGTGCTCATGCCATCACACCCCATCCCATTGCATCCCTCTGACACAAGGACCCCTTTGTGCTGCTGCAGGGCCGGAGCTCAGCAGCTCCTGGGCATGGTGCACGTGGGGCTGAGCCAAGGTCCCCATCCCAGCACGGGGACAGCTCCGAGGATGGCAGGAGCTGCCAGTACCGGGACGTTGGCTTGGGACAGGTACAGCTGAGCTCTGGCTGCGCCCCAAAACCCTCGTGACACAGCACAGGGATTGTCTCATGGGCAAATCCGAACATCCCCCTGTCCCAGGTCTCGGCAAACTACCCCCAGCTGAACTACAAGCCCACCATCTTCTTTGCCTTTGGCTCTCCCATCGGGATGTTCCTCACCGTGCGAGGAGTGAAGCGCATCGACCCAAACTACAGCCTGCCCACCTGCAAAGGCTTCTTCAACATCTTCCACCCCGTAGGTATAAGAACCAGAGCTGTCCTGCGTGAGACACGTGGAGCACGAGCCCTGGCCACTGTCCCCCTCTCGTGTGCAGTTTGACCCGGTGGCGTATCGGATCGAGCCCATGATCGTCCCGGAGCTGGAGTTCGAGCCCATGCTGCTGCCCCACCACAAGGGCAGGAAGAGGATGCACCTGGGTATGGCACGGGCAGCCCCTGTCCCCCGGCCCAGGGCTGCTGCTGCAGCCCCCAGCCCCACAGCCAGCCCCCTCCTGCCTTGCAGAGCTGAAGGAAGGGCTGACCCGCATGAGCGTGGACCTGAAGAACAACCTGCTGGGCTCCCTGCGGGTGGCCTGGCAGTCCTTCACCCGTGCCCCCGTGCCAGCCCTGGAGGCAGGGAGCACCGAGGCAGAGGCAGAGGCAGAAGCTGGCACTGAGAAGCAGCCAGGTCGGTGGTGGGGAGCAGGGGGCAGCCAGGGATGCAGCCCTGGGAGCTGCCCACGTGTGCCTGGAGTCCCACATTGCCTGGCACCTGTGCCCAGCAAAGGGCACCTTTGGGCTGTGCAGGCACCTGGATCTGCCTGAATGCTGTGGCCTTCCCCTGTTAGCACCTGGTGAAGGGGTTTTCTGGGGGGGGGGGGTCTCACCACACCACGTTTTAAGCCCACCCCCCTCCTCTGGGTGTCCCTTGCACTTCAGCTGCCTCTCCCCTGTGTGAGCTGCAGAGAGGTGAAGGGATGGCACAGCCCTGCTGTTGTATTGCCATGGCTGCTGGTGCCCTGTGGCTGAACCATGCTGCTCCTCCTTCCTGCAGAGACAAAGCCAGAGGAGCCCCTGGCAGCAGTGAAGGAAGAGACCCCCCCCATCAACGTGGGGAGGCTGAACAGGGGGAACCGCATCGACTACGTGCTGCAGGAGAAGCCAATAGAGAGCTTCAACGAGTACTTGTTTGCACTCCAGGGCCATCTCTGCTACTGGTAAGTGTCTGTGTAATGCTCAGGGCTTCAAGTTTACGTGTGGTGAAGCAGAATGGCATCAGTTTCAGAGCCAGTGTACTGAGAAAAGGCTCAGCTGGTCAAGGGAACGAGATCTCCTGTCTGTGGCACGGACAGAGGAAGGAGACTTGTGGTTCTCCTCATGCTGCCTGCATTGCAGAACACTGCATCTACCTCAGCCATCACAGAGGGCCTGACAGAGGGCAGGGAAGCACTCCCTTCTGATTCCCTTTCCTCCCCTGCAGGGAGTCAGAGGACACTGTTCTGCTGGTTCTGAAGGAGATCTACCAGACCCAAGGCATCACACTGGATCAGCCTTTACCAGGAAGCCAGTGACCACCTGTGCTGTTCTGGCTGTAAGTCACCTCTGCCTAAACCCCTTCTGGATTTCCCAAGACACCTCAGAGGAGATCTGGTTGGTTTGGGGGAGTAAATCCATTATCTAAGGCAGGGAACTTGTTTCAGCTTTCTTCTTTGGTCTGTCAGCACCTTTGGCTTCTTTCCTCTTCCCTGCACATGAGCACGATCAGACATGAGGAGAGGAGCAGGGAGGGTCCAGGGGGCTGGATTCTGACTGCAGCTATTCCTCTGTTCTCCTTTTGCTTTCTCAGGTTCAACCCCACAGAGTACTCACCAGGAAAGTCCAGATCTCGTCTCTGCCTTCCTCTCTCCTCTGCTGCCGTGTCCTGCATGCTGCTTCCCAAGTACTTGCTGCTGCCTGGAGATAAGGATGGATTTTCCTCCATTTTGGGTAGGGGTAGGGGGAAAAACTGTCAAGGAAAACCACTTCTGCTCAAACACCCACACCACCTGTACAGTGACTCCCTGTGGCAACGTGTACTTTTAAGCCTGCACCCTGTGAGTCCCCAGCAGCTCCTCCAGCACTGCAGCAGAAGAGCTGTCCAGGCTCAGCACCCAGCGAGGCCCTGAGCCCACGGCTGGCTCCACTCACAGCCCAGGACCCTGAGGAGAAAAAGCCTTAAACACAGCGTGGGAAGAGCTGCAGCAGCCTTGGAGCAAGGGAGATTGCTGACTGCTAACACAAACCCCCCACCAGCACTGCAAGCCCAGGAGGTGAAGCCCAGGGCTCAGGCTGCTGCTGAGCCACAGGGGCTGTCCAGCAGCCCACTCATCCCTGCACTGCTGCTGCATGTCTGCAGCCCTGCACTGCTGCTGCACGTCTGTGCAGCCCTGCACTGCAGCCAGGCAGGGCTGCCCTGTGAAGCACCCCGTGACAGTGGCATGCTCGTGCTCCTCCCCGCTGGGGACAGCTCAGCACCCCAGCCAGGGTGTCCCCACAGCCCTGACCCAGCTGTACCTGCTCCAGGAAAGCTTCCCCTCAGCTGCAGCCAGCCCAGGGAGCAGCAGCTGCTGCTGGCAGTGCCAGGGTGAGCCCTCTGAGCCCTGCAGGGACACAGAGCTCTGTGCCCGCCACGCTCCCGTCCTGGTTTAGCTTTAAATGTACAAAACACAGCCAGCAAAGGTGGAGCCCAGACCCAGCAGGGTCTGGCCACTGCAGGAATGACACCAGCTCTGTGGGCAGCTCAGTGTGCACCTGCTTTGAAGCTCTTTTCTGAGGGGGCAGGGCTGGAGAGCCTCTGTGATCCTTCCCTGAGCACCAAAGCCCCTGGGCTGGGGCTCCAGTGCTGTGTGAGGTGTTGCTGTGCAGCCTCTGGAAGAGCCAAACCACTTTCCCTCCTGCTGACTTTTGCCCTGCATGGGGTAAGGAGCCTTTTCCCCCCACAACTTGTTGGTTTGTTTTTCCTCCATTGTCTGTTATTTGCACTATTGGAAGGGTTTTGTTTGCAGCCTCCATCCCTCCTCCCCTCCCAAGGAACAGAAGCTGTTCTTTACCTGACTGCAGGAACAGCCAAGCTGCTTGGTCAGCACCTGACCCACTGCTGGCTAAGGTCTCATGGGAGTAGGAAAAGGGACAGTCTTAACATGGGACACTAATGATCAGCTTTTTAAGTTATGCACTTTGTTAAAAAAAAAAAAAGAAGTTAAATAATTTTAAATGTTATTTAATGTCTTTTCCAGTAAAAGCCAAAATAAATAAGTAGATGACTGTGGTGTGTGCATGTCTGGGGGGAGAGGGAGGGGCTGGAAAACTCACATGTGCAGTTTTGGGGGAAAGTGAAGCTGTTTCTGTAATTCTATTGAAGCTGCAGAGTTATGGAGGGTGCACACTGCAGCTGCTGGGGTGGTGTTTCATTACTGACTCACCTGCCTTGCTCTGCTGCAGCCTCACCCCTGCTGTTTGCACATACACACACTTGAAACCTTTCTTTGAAGGGACCAGTGACAAACAGCTGCTCCCAGAGCTCCTGCCAGGCAGCAGGCCCTGGATCTCAGCAGCACTCTGCCCTTCCCTGTCTGAGACAGACCATGGGCAGGGGAACGAGCTCCTGTGCAGGATGCTGTCACACAGGTGCAGGGATGCTCCCAGACACCATTTCATTTTCTGCTGTCATCTCCTTGAAACTACTAAAGCTGCAAGGAAGAGCACCCATCAGAAACCCCTGCAGACACCAGAGAAAATGGCTTATGAAGCAATGACCCAAACCTTGAAATAAAGTTTTAGTACCACAGCTCATTACAAAAATTAAACTCCTTTATTTGAGAAATTAGAAAAGCTCAAAGTTGGTAGGTCCTGCATTTCATTTCCCAGGAGAAGGGCTGGGACAGCTCAGCTGGACTGCAGGGAGGTGGCCAATGGTGCTTCCTGGACTGGACACAAGAACTGCCACCAGACTGGGAACACTGGGCTGTCACATTTTCCCAGTTTGTGTTCAGGACCTCCACACCCCAACTGTCTTTGTGCAGGTTGGCACCCCGAGTGCCTCCCTCGCTTCACAGTGGGCCTGAAGAGAGGGTGGCCTACAAAATTCAATGAAATGAAGCAACACAAGGGCCAGGGCAGGAAACTCACCAGCTTGGCAGGGAACACCTGCCCAGGGGTTCATCCTCACTCCTCCTGAGCAGCTTCCCCCAAGCCTCACCCTGCCCTGGCAGCCAGGAGAGGCAGGACAGAGCCTGGCACTAAATGTTCATGTGGAAGCCGGGAGCTGGAGGCTTCTCCTCGTGCGCTGGCAGCGCTTTGGGCTTGGCCAGAGATGGTTTGTGGCACGTAGTGTCTGTCAGGGGAGGGTAGTACTGCCTGTAGCACAGGTAGGCGAGCACCAAGCCCATCACTGAGCCAACCAACACATCTGTGGGTGAGACCAGAGCAAAGTTAATGGCCCTTCATCCTCCCAAGCCTCGTGATCAATTCCTCAGCAGCAGCTTTTCTGCTAGATCCATAACCTGACTTGGCTGTAAACCCAAGCTTGGTATGTATTTCAAAACCACAGAGGAAGGCATCAGTTCCCTGCAGGTGGCAGCAAAATTGCCACTGGAGGAGTCAAAAAAAAACCCCAAGGTGCTGTTTGGGGCTCTGAACACTCCTGTGCCTGGAGTGCCCTGCTCAGGGCACCTGCTGAGCCCTGTCCAGGTGCACAGCAGAAGCTCACCCACCTTCCCAGTGGTGCTTGTAGTCGCAGGTGCGGGACACGCCGATGAGGGTGGCCAGGAAGAGGGGGAGGAGGAAGGCACAGAAGCGCAGGGCCCGGCCCCCCCGGCCTGGAACAAAGCTGTGCAGCTTCCCTGCCAGGTAGAAGGCGGAGAAGGCAAGACCAGCAAAGGCAACTGGAAGAGAACAGGACAATGTCAGCTCAGAACAGCTCCAGGCTTTGCTGCCAGACCCTGACCCTCTGCTGCTGCAGTGGAAGGGCTGTGAGAGGTGTCTGCCTGTCCCTGTGAGCCAAGGGAAGTACCAGCTGGGACTGATGGATCCTAGAAGCTGCTACCTGGCACACATCCCTCCTTCTGGCTTGCAGACAGCTTTGGCCCACATTTCTCACCCCATTGCTTTGCAGAGAGAAACCTGAGTCCCTCTCAATGCAGCCAAAGCTGTGCGGTGCAGGAAAGCAAATCCAATCTGCCCTCCCCACGGCTCCTGCTCCCCACAGCTGGCTGGCCAGGGCTGCAGCAGCAGGAGAGGTGGCACTCACAGGAAGCGTGCCCGCTGGGGAAGCTCTTGCGGCCCTCGGTCACCCTGCGCGCGTCCCCCGTGCACACCAGCTCGGCGTTGGCTCGGCCGTCCGGGAAGCAGCGGTGGAAGAAGTCGGGCCGTGGCCTGGGACAGGGAAGTGGAGCTCAGGGCCCTCCTGTGTGGGCACTCCCAGCACCCACGGGGCAGCAGGGAGCAGCCTGTGCCAACGCCATCCTCCCCAGCCTGGGCCCAGCATCTGAGTGATGGCCTGAGACAGCGGCTCCCCAGTGTTTTGTCTATGTCTGAATTGTCTTTGCAGCTAGAAAAAAACACATTCTTTCCAGGCTGAGCATGTGCAAGTTCAGCCCCAGGCCCTGAGTGTTGCAGACCTGCCTCCCCCGCGGCGCAGCTGGGAACAGCCAGTCCTCACCTCCCCACAACGAGCTTCAGGGCGTTGGTGAAAACCCCGTTCAGGGCAAGAGCAAGGCTGGCAGCTGAGAGAGAGCAGAAGGGTCACATCAGCATCGTCCCCACCTGAGAGTGCAGCAGGGCTCAAGCTGCCCTTCCCTGGAACAAGAGGAGCTCACCAAGGCAGGCTTCCCTCGTGTCCTCGTGGTCAGCGCCCATGAACAGCCTCGCCAGGAGGATGAGCAACAAGGGGGACAGAAATGCGATGAACTGCACGACACAGGGAGAATTTAGGTGTCAGTGAAGCAGGTTTAAGTTCTCAGCAGAACACAAGAGCAGTTACTCAAGAAGACTCTGAGCACACTTCCCTCCCCCAAAGCCAAGCAGCAATCTGTCCTCTGCAATCGCTGCAGTTCCATCAGAACAATCCCCCCCAGCTGGATTTGCAGCAGGCCCTGATCAGCCCAGCAAGTCCTTTGGTTCTCAGACAGCTCTTCTGGCAGAGTGCTGCTCTGGCTGGTTGTTGGGGGTGTCCCCAGGCACAGCACCTCAGCTCTCCCCTCCCTGCAAGCCCCAGCATTAGCGCTCTGTCAGCAGCACCCGTGCTCTGTCAGCAAAAGCTCAGCAGCTGCTGATTCAGAGCAGGCAGTTATCATCATCCCCATCTCAGCCCTGGGGATTCACCCCAGGACATCCTCACCACTGCCAGGCTCCCATGGAGTCTGCTCCCACCTGAGCTCTGGCTCTTTACACTCCCTGTTCCAAATGCTGTCCTGAGGTTTTGTTCCTAAAGTTTAGTGGCCACCTCTCGCAGGAAATCCCACCTGCCATTTGCCAACTCAGAGCCACAGCCCTTCACCTCACACCTGTGACAGAGGGTGCCAATCCCTCTGACACACTGCTCTCTCCTGCAACTCCAACACAGACTTAGTCAAACTCTTCTAAGCAAGCCTAGAGCCGTTGGGAAAAGGTTTGACAATAAAATGACAATAAATCCCTGCTAAAAATAGCTGCTTGCAAGGAAAACATTCCCTGATAGCGAGAGCTGTGCTATCTTCCACACACCCGGTAAGTTAGACGTGGAATGGATTATGGACAACAGTGCAAAGTCCTCATTAGTTTATGAACCTCAAATCCCAAAGGCAATGCCTGGTAAAGCCTCAAAATATGACAAAAATCACTGTATGTTCAGCCTGGTTGGTACTAATCTCCCAGGATGCGTAGAAAGGGACCACTAGGGACCATCAAGTCCAACCCTCTGCTCAGGGTCCTCAGAGCACATCACCCAGGACTGTGTCCAGATGGATTATGAGTATTTCCAGGTAAGGAAACTCCCACTGTCTGGACAGCCTGTGTCACTGCTCAGTCAGCCACACAGGAAAGTTCTTCCTCCTGTTCAGGTGGAAATGTTCCAGCTTGAGCCTCTCGCCCCATTGAGCAGAGCTCGGCTCCATCCTCACAGCCCCTCCCTGCAGCTATTTATCCACATGGATACGATATCCTGCACTTTCTGCTACGTGCACTAGGAGCTGCAGGTATTGCAGTACAAGCCTTTAGCCAGCAGCTTTGCTTTAAAAGGAGAGCTGGTAATTCGAGAACAAATCAAAGTAAACGCAGGAAACACTGGCACAGGCTGCCCAGGGGAGCTGTGGATGCCCCATCCCCGGAACTGTTCACAGATTATGTAGGGTCTGATGGGAGGGGGGCATCCCCCGTAGCGGGAGGGACGAAACGATCTTTCAAAGCCCCTTCCGACCCAAACCACGCGAGGAACCCACTGAACTTACAAACATGAAGACAGTGGGGACGTGGTCCGCTTCAACGTAGGGCTTTTTGTAGAGCCACATCTCCTCGGGCTGCACCACGCGCTGGAAGGGCGGCAGGAACTCCATGATCCTGGAACAACGAGACGAGCGAATGAGGCAGGGCAGGGGCAGGGGCAGGGGCAGGGCAGGGCAGGGCGGGGGTCCCGCACCCACCCGAAGGTGGCGAGGAGCAGAGCCCGCAGCGCGGCCTCGGCCGCCAGCTCCGCTCGCCGCATGGCCACTGCTCGCCGGGGCGGGGCGAGCGCGGCTCGGCTCGGCTCGGCACGGAACGGAACGGCTCGGCACGGCTCGGAGGAGGGACCGCAGCCGGGAGTCCCGTTATCCCCCTCCCGCCCCGCCCCATACGGAACTGAGTCATCTCATCATTGGAACATTCAGAACGATTTATTGAAGTCAACCTCAAGCAAAAATTTCAGATCAGTGGAATGTCATTAAAAATCTTTCGAAAGGAATCCTCACGGGAAAGCAAAAGGGAAAAAAAAAAAAAAAAAAAAAAAAAAAAAAAAAAAAAAAAAAAAAAAAGGGGAAAAAAAAAAAAAAAAACAAACCAAAACCCAAAAAAACCCCACATCTGAATTCCAGAGTATTTGTAAAATAAAATAAAAAAAAGGCAACATCTCAGTAAATAGAATGTACAAAAATTATATGTTCTACCATCACACACAGTCAGTAAGAAGCTAAAATATTACAGGCAAGTCTCGATACGCTCTACCTAGAGGACAGGAGCTATCTATGTACAGGGAACCAGCTTTACAGGCTTCACACTATGCAAGAGGACAGAGGCCAACACAAACCCCCCAAAATATTGGATATCTCAAAGTCTATGCGGCAACATCAAGTCATGATACAGTAATGCCCCGTGGAATCAGACACTCCTTGGTGTGCCAGGGCTGATCTGCGTCCAAAATCTCTTCCATACCGACTCCGGTGAATATCGACGCTTTGCTATTAAAGACTCGAGTGATTTCGTTAAAATAACATTTCACAGAATCTACAAAGTTTGTTACAGATAAACAAAGTCTACAGAAATAACGACTCTACAAAGGTCCATCTTACAGAGCACGTGGGGATGGAGACGGATCCGCGGGGATCTGTGTTGTGCAACATCACTCGCGTGGAGACAGACGGGCTGGGGTCCTCACAGCACCCCGAATGCAACCCCCAACCCCTGGCTCAGATGGGACAGGATCACCCCAGGGGCTGTGGCAGCACCGCTGGCTTGGTGGAAAAGGAAAAGTGACACCAAAATGAGATACAGATCCACCTGGAACAGGGAGCGTAGGGGTTCGTCCAGTCTGGTTATGACCCAAGAGTGAGAGAGAACTGCAAGGTGGGGGGCACCAGGGACCCCAGGCAGCTGGGATCTCCAGAGGGACCCCTCACACAGCTGGGATCTCCAGAGGGACCCCAGGCAGCTGCCTGCCCCTGGAGCTGGTGGTGGCACAGCGAGGGCACAGCCCCAGGGCACAGGGAGTGGTAAATGGCTTTGGCAAATTCATACATGTTTTCCCTTTTTTATTCACATTAATCACAGAAATCCCCTACACAAAGCACAGTTCCAGCTCCCTACCTCCCGCTCTGGAGCAGCAGGACCCCTCTCCCAGGGGAACACAGACCTGAGCTGCTCACTCGGAAATACAGTATCACAGGAAACAACCTTTCTTTTCTTCCTGTTTTGCCTTTTTCTCTTCTTTTTCCCTCAGAACAACACTGGGAATACATCCAACGTGTAGGAGTGTATCGTAAGTGCAAATGTTTTTGCTACACAAAGAGAAATGGTGGGGAAAGCTGATGGGAATGGGAAGCAAAGGGACAGCATTGCTCCAAGGTCGCCGTCTCCCACGCCAACACCTGGTGAGCACACAGCTCCGAGCCAGCTGCTCCCAAACCCTCCCGTTTGCCGGGGATCCACTGTACAGCAGGGAGCAGGAAGGAACTTGGGGGAAGTCAAGGACATTTTCAATGCAGTGTACAAAAAATCATGTATAAATAAAAAAAAAGCTGTAAAAGGAACCGCAGAGCTTCAAGTACATTAAACCCTGAATTCAATGAGGCAGAGGTTTCCATGTTAAAGTGACTTCTCCGTACCAGCGTCGGACACCCCCATCCCACCCTCCCCCCTCCCCACCCACATAATTCTGTAAAGTTTCAATATATACAGATTTTATGCTCATTGATAATTACGTCTAGTAATTGTGTCTTTCCCATTCTATCCTGAAATTAAGATAAAAGAAGGGTTTTTTTAGAACAAAGGCCAAAAATCCACATTCCAGCCCTATTACTCCATTTGAATTGATTCTCCAAGACCATGTGGTGACCAGAGAAGGTGATTTGCCCATGAAATTTCCTTCCTGAGCTGCAAACTCCTTCAACAGTCTAGGGACAGGACAAGTCTCTACAATAATCTGACAGCTACAACAGCTAATGCTTGCACCACGTGTTCAGGAATGTTGGAACCAGCCTCTGCACCACTGGAATCACAGAATCGTGGAATTCTTGCTTCTAGACTCATCTGGCCATGGGCTGCAGGATGCCTGCACTGTGCCCAGGTGCAGCTGCAGAGGAGAAGCTCCAGTAAACCACAAACCCTGTTCCCTGGCAAGGCAGCTCAGGCACTGCCCAGGTGCCACAGCTGGAGGCAGGAGGTCACCAGAAGTGTGGGGCCTCCCCAAAAATTTAACACAAAAGAAAGAGAAAAACATGTCGGTGTGTTCCCACGAAGGAACAACAATGTGCTGGGACAGCACACTGCAGGTCTCCACCAAAATCACCAGTTCTGTGGATTTCCCCTAGGTCTCAGCATGAAATGACCCAGCTATCCAAGATTCCTTATTTTGGAGCCCACACAAATTAATTCAGCAGCTGCCTCCCACTCTGCTGAAGCCAATCCATCAGAACAGCTGTGCAATCTTTTCCTTACAAAGGAGCTGCACTAAGCAACTACATTCTGGTTACTCAGCTTACAAAGACATGGTTAAAATGTACATTTTAGCATCTGAGCCTGGCACTCAGAACAGCCCCTGCAGTCACCAAGATCCTCTGAACTGGCCTTTTCTCATCTAACAATGTTAAAGCTTTTTGAAAGACTCACCGTTTCTTCAGTTCAGAGTTTGGTTCACAAACTGAACAACCTCTCCTGCTTTCCCTTCTGAGTCCAAGCCCAGCTGCTGGCTGCTATGAATCACTTTTTGGTGGAAAAAAGAAGCATCTCTAAGAAGTCTGAGCACAAAGTGAACCAAGACATTGAGTGGCACAGGATGAGCAGCAGCCTCCATCACAGCATTTGAGAAGTTTAAAGCCTTCTGTGCCCTCCCTGTGCCCTGGCACAGCACTGTGGCACAGCCAGCGTGGCCACTGGCAGTCTGTGGCTCCTGTCCAATGCTCCCAAGGTGTCCTGGTGCTGCCACACCATGTCCTTCTGCTCAGCAGGTCACCTTGGACATGGAATGCATGGAGCAGCTCGGGGCACTCACACAGCAGCACGATATCAGCAACATATCTGATATATATATATATATACATACATATATATATATATAAATATCAGCTGATAGGTGCAATATCAAAATGCTCTGCCTTCAGAGAAAATCACTGAACATTATCAAGCCTAATAAAGAATATAAAGTGAACACCTCAGGCCCTACAGACACGGTAGCAAGAGCTGTGTTTGGAATTTCTGAGAAGGTTAAACATCCTCAATAAGAGGTTAAAAAGAGACATTTCCCACACAAAACGTTAAGAAAAATAAAATCCTTTTTGTACCTTATTTTTTTTCTTTAAAAATACCAAAATCCAGCACTGCTTTCCAGCAGGGTTAGTGTTGGACCCTCACTGGAGCATGGCCCACAGCAGGAAGTGCTTTAGGGATCCCAAGAGCTGCTGGCCCAGGAGTGCCCCAGCCACCCTGGGGTCTGGCACCCCAAGGGAGGTGTGGGCAGGTGCTCTGGGCCAAGTCCAGGCACAGCAGCTGCTCAGGGACTGTAGTGTATCCATCACTCTACCATTGCACACACAAAAACTCCCCCTGTACATCAGTTTGAGGATGAGAAAGACACCAGGCAGAGGCAAGACATGTTCTAAATTCCACACAGACTTCTTCTTGATCTGAGAAGTCTCTGTGTTCCCACAGGTTTGTGTAAGGAGTTTTCCAGAGACAAGGTTCTTAATTCCAAGGCTCAGTTCAGCCAGATGCCAGCAACACTTGATTATTTTCAGTACCCACGAGCAAAGGGTGGCAGGGAGTAGCTGTTATCAGCACACAAGTCAGAAGTACTCATTGTACCAGGGCAGGGGGGACAGTGCTTGGTGAGATCGTGGGCTGGGAGGGAAGAGTCACCAAAACTAGCTCCAGCCTGTGGACACCAGTGCCCTGTGGCTCCTTGCACAAAAAAATGGAGGAATATAGGTTTTCTAAAAAAATTCTGGAGCAAGAGGCAACATAAGCCACTTTGAAAGCCTCACTGAAGGAGTCTGTCTCTCTGATTAACAGAGGAAATCCAAGACAGAACCATCTCCTGAGGCATCAGCTGGCTGCTGGGATGTGGCCCCTTCCCCAGACACAAAATACCCTGTTCATTGAGGAAGTGCTGAGATGTTCCTCAGCTCCATTAGCAATGAAGATTAAAGTTAGAAGATCTCTCTCAACAAAAAAAATATTAACACTCCATCGAAACCAGCACGCACATGGGTCAGGTCCCCCACGTGCCCAAGTCTCCCTGAAGCCAAGGGGAGCCTGAGAAGGCAGGACTGAAGAATCACTCAGTAACTGCCACCAAACCACGTGAGGAACCCACTGGCAGGACTGCCTTCAGCTCTGACTGAGGCTGGGAGCCTCTCCTGCCTGGGAGGGGTTTCCAAAAGAGGTGAGATAAAGAAATGACCACTGTGCAATTAAACTCTGAATTTTTGCATGTCTGCAAACACCCAAGACAGCTCTGGAGCAAGGCACCACCATTTCTTCCCCACTGTCAGACCTTGTGTTATGAGCACTTCCCAGAAGTCACACACCTGATTTCTCACAGGAAAAGCTTCACAATAATATTCATAAGTAAACATGAGAGACAACCTACCTTCTCCAATGCCTTTAACAATAAGTACTGGAACAGAGGCATTTCAGAGTCACCTGGTCTGACACCCACACCTGTCTGTTTGGCATCTCAGTGTTACAGAGGGGAGAGGCTTTGCTCTTTCCATAAACTAGACACAAAAGTTACGTTGGCTTCGCTGTTTTGTTTTTAAAGACACGATGACTGATCAAAGCCAGATCTTCAACACCCTTTCAAAATTAAATAAATAAATATGTGGCTATGCTTTGCTTTCTACACTCAAAGAACATTATTTTAAACAGAATATTCTTTTCACTGT